TATAAAATTTCGTTATTTTAAAGAAGATAACGTTTCACCCTGAATACCTACCGAATACGCCCTATCCAACACCGCAAAACGATTTCTGGCAACCCAGATGGCGGTGACACCCGAAGCCCGCTTCGCATCGGCATCAGTGTTTGGATCACCTTCGCGCGGTATCAAATATAGATCGTAAGTGCTATTTTCGACATTATTAGCTGATCTAGTACAGATTAAAACAGCGTTCTCAGCTTGATTATACGACATGCTATAAGGAGGTGTCTTTCCACCTCCTCGGATTTGCATAATAGATGTATCTTTTGAAGTAGTGAAGTCCAATTTTCTAAGAAACCGTTCTTTCACGTAATAAAGAACGTTTCCATATACAGCATATGCAGGACGTTCTCTTTCTAATTTGAAAATAATCATTCCTGAATCATGACCAGCAGCAAACAGATTCAATGTAGGATGTGCTGTGATGACCCAAAATCTCTCGTGTTCTCTTCTAAATGTGTGCAAACAAGTACGTTTTGACATATCCCAAACGCGGATACTTTTATCTTCAGAATTTGAGAGAATTAAGTCCTGTCTAGGATGGAACAAAACACAAGAGACATTATTATAATGTCCCCGACAAGTATCAACCTCCCAAGCTTTGGCATCATTCATTCTCCACATTTTAATCTGACGATCATCTGCTCCAGAAACAATCAGAGGCAATGTTGGATGGAAGCATGCCCAATTAACACCTCTATCATGTGCGTCCAGGATATGTCTGACAACAGCATCTGCTTGACCAAATAAATCTGTGGCTCCAGGATTTTTTAAATGATCTTCCAAGCCTCCTGGACCAGGAGCTACATTTTTCTTTCTTAATCCAGAAACATCCCATATTCTGACCGTTTGATCTAAAGAAGCCGATACAATGATATCCTCTGTAGGATGAAACTGTGCACACATGACATAGTGATTGTGCCCAGTCAAGACACAAATGCAAGCACGGCTCTGCCAATTCCAGATACGAACAGTTTGGTCGTCTGATGCGCTCAAAATCCATGGGTATTCTTGATGAAATACAATTGTTCTAATATAATCTAAATGCCCCAATAAAGTAAAGAGGCATTTCCTTTGCTTATAATTCCATACTTTGATCTTATAGTCATCACCACCAGATACAAATAATGGTTGTTGATTGTGAAAACATATTCCACGAACTGGTCCATCGTGTTCATCAAATTTATCTAATAAAGTGCACATGCGATAATCCCATAACTGAATAATACCATTGTGTAAACTGTAACAGAATACATAATATTTCTGGAAATCTGAGTTTCTTAATAGTTCAAGAACAATGCAGAATTTTCCGAATTATATTAGAGTTAATAATCCTAACGTAAACATCTGTATGTGGTTGTTTTAATAACTCAATAGCTAACCGACACGGAGAATATTTATTGTTTACCTTACAAGCACCCATGGACGTTTTGGATGAAAAGAGATCCCTTTTACACGAGCAGATTTTGTCTCAAATTTTGTTAACATCTCTCAGTAAGTATTTCACAAAATTATGTTTAAAGAACCATTCCTCGCTTCTAAACCTTGCTAATTTGTCACGAATCGCGACACGTCACGACGTCATTAGCACTGCCATGAAATACATACACATGTATAGATCGCGAATGGAACATTTATTTTATCGTATAATATATATCGTATCAAATTATGTTATTCCAAATTTTGAACATTTTTTTACTATAATTATATTTCTTTGTATTTAAATGAATCGTCTGCTTAAAATTTCTAATAGATATTTTTTAATATTACGTATATTGTATGAACCGCCAGTGCTGCCATTAAATATATACATACATATAGATAGGTAATGGAACTTGTATTTTGTCATATAATATTTAATATTGTATTTTGTCACGTCAAATTATCTATTTCAAATCGTGAACATTTTTTAAATATAATCATATTTTTTTATTATCTAATGACTGGATTGCTTATAATTTCTAATTAATAGTTCTTAATATTACGAATATCATATAAACGGTATGAAAATATTTTTCTACCAATTTATCAAAGTATAAAATAAAATTGAATTAAAATAAACTTATTTACTAAATGTGCATTAATTGAAACAATACGAAGAATCAACGTGTCACTTTCATATTGATTGATCCGCGCATGTTCAGTTATGAAATATTTGTTGTATTATTATACGTGGGATTGTTTGTCTGAAAAGTTTGGAATAATATAGTTATTCATATATTGACTACAATCGAAATATTTAATAAAATAATGATCTTCTACAAAGTAGTATAGAATCAATTACATTTTGTGATTTGTATTTAAGAGTAATTATTATTAGCCTTTAAGTAAATGCTGATAGTGTTACTGAAGGTAGTGACCGGTACGTTTCTGTAGAATAATGCGACGAACCAATGTCATTCTTTTTCTTTTCTTAAGCTTGTTTATTTTACTTTCTATGTCTGCTTCTGTAAAGTGCAACAAAACACCTTCAAGTGAAGAATTTAAAGCTCAAAAATTTCCTCCATGTGCGGCTTGCAAGATTTTAATAAATAGTTTTAAGAAGGTGAGTTTGTCAAATATTATAAGTTAAAAGAACTCAATTTTTAAGAAATATGTGTACGAAAGTATATGTAAATGCATATCTTTTTGTATATAAATTTAACGTAATATTGAGTTTACTATATCATATTGTTTATGTATATATATAAGTAATTTTATTCTTATTTAATCATTATTTATCTGTGTAAATATCTTTTATGTATGTATTTTACATTTATTGTACTGTTTTGTTGTACAGGGTATAGAAAGGACTAGTCGTGAAAAATTTGATGGTGGTGATAGCGCATGGGAGGAAGATAAGTTAGGTTCATATTCAAAAAGTGAAACTAGATTAATAGAAATACAAGAACATTTATGTGAAGAAGTAGAACATGGTAAAATACAGTGTCAGACTTTAGCTGAAGAATTAGAAAATAAAATAGAAGACTGGTGGTTTAATTACCAACAAACACATCCAGATATTTATGATTATATCTGTATTCAACAAACAGAATCCTGTTGTCCAAAAGATCATTTTGGTCCACAATGCAAGCCATGTCCAGGTTTTCCAGATAAAATTTGTAATAATAATGGTAAATGCAAAGGAGCAGGTACCAGAAAAGGAAATGGTAAATGCTCCTGTGATAAAGGCTATGAGAAAGATGATTGTTCTGAATGTGCAATTGGATTTTATGAATCCTATAAAGATGAAAATAAATTACTTTGTTCACAATGCCACAATGCCTGTGATGGGGCTTGTAAAGGACCAGGACCAAAAAATTGTGAAAAATGTACGGAAGGATGGCATATATTAGATGGACAAGGTTGCTTTGATATTGATGAATGCTTAAAAAGTGATGAATATTGTTCAAAAAATCAATTTTGTATTAATAAGGAAGGAGGATATACGTGTTTAAGTAAGTTATAAAAAATATACAAAAATAATTTAATATTTATTGTTTTTAATTAATGTTTTAGATTGTGACGTGGCCTGTGATGGGTGCACAGGTGATGGACCAGATATGTGTATAAATTGTGCAGATGGATACCGTGAAAAAAATAATTTATGTATAAGTATGTTCTCAATAAATGATGATTGAATAAGATATATAAAAATATTGCTACTACTAATAATAATAATCATATATAAAATTATTTATTTTAGATTCTGACCTACTGGGTCGTAAGCAACAGGAGAATGTTGCAAGATATGCTACATATCTTGGTCTGTGCATAGCTACATGCATCATCTTCCAACGAAATATTTATATAGCAAGTGTAATTGGATTATTAGTTGGGATATACATATCGGTTTCAGAATACATGATAGCTCATAGTAACGTTCAAGATACAACAGCAAATGTTGACATTCTAGGACCAGCATAAATGTATAGTGTATTATATATCATATTTTAATAAATTGTAATGTATAAAAAAGTGAGAAAATGAATATTGTTATAGTAATCACTCGTATATTAACAATTATAATTTCTGTTGTTTGATCTAATATATTAATTATTATTTATCATTTTAAAATTCAAATTTTAGAGATATTTCAATCTATACATATACATATATATCATGTGTTATCACGGATGAGTAGTGTTATGTAGTATGTATAATACATACTGTAAAGCATGTATATGATATATATATATATATATATATTCTCAAAAACCAATCTTTAAATAAAAAAAATTTAATCTTGTTCCGAGTATTTCTAAAAAAAATCATAATTATAATATAAGATTTTTGGAGATATTATATTAGTAATTTCTTTCACTAGATGGCTACAAGAATGAAGTTTATTTCACTAGAGAATGTTTTTAATGGCGAGTATATAAACATATGAAATAAGTGTTAAAGTTTGCAGTACCTTTGTATCATATGCATATCAATTTTTGTATAAAGTTTTGCTTTTTACATTTATTTCAAATATAAGAAATTGTTAGTATTTTAAAGCAAACACATATATAGTATTATATGCATCGATGTGTAATGAATATCTTATCAACGCGTTTTCGAAGTTTCACTTGTCTCGACATTTTTTTCTTTATACAGTGCGAAATCTTTTGCTTTTAGTTCATTTAGATTTAGATGCTTTTAATCCAAAGATTTAATATTTAATGTTTACAGGATTTTTAATATTGATCAAAGATCTCTATTAAGAAGTTATTGTTCCCATATACAATATGTAGAAAAAGTAAAAGCAATATCTTACATGTACTTTGTCTTTAAGTGACAATACGTGTAAATGCTTGGATGCACTATGCCAACTAACAGCACCCAAACTTTATTGTTATTTTGGATATATTTTCCCAAGTAATTTTTTAATAAATTATCTTAGGATAGATTTTCCCAAATTTGATACAAATTCATAGAAAAGGGGGTTATAATTACAACTTTCAAAACAATTCACTATGCGAGCATCAAATTAATATGCGGATATTAAAATATTTATACTGTTATAAAATCATTAATTTTTAATATTTCGATGTAATATTTTCAATGAATATTTTTAAGCCGTAGTACTGTTAGAAAATGCAAGAAATAAGAATCCAATTTTTATTTATAAGTAAAAATTCTTTTAGTATTATATATGCATATAGTCTGTCCGTCACTTGAGTAACAGTAGTCGACAGCCATTAGTTACAATTGCAGCAACCTAATTTTGTTTACGTATACTGCCTCGTCTTGTTGTACAGACTACATATAGTTATACTTATGTATACTATATACCAGATGGCGCAATACATATTCTGTTTTTCGGAAATTACAAAACGTCTCTCTTGATATATATTCGGGAAAAAATATAAGTTAGGTTGCAATACTTTATCATATCCATATTAAGAATTTTTGTTTCTTTGTGTTTATACAAATACTTTGCTTTAAGGAAAAATTAAATAATTTACTTAATTATTATTCAATATATATTTATCAATTACATTGTACTTTTAAAGTATTTAACAAAGTACGTACGTTATTTTTCTTTATGTGGAAGGTGAAATTATAATATACAAATGTTTTCACAGAGAAAGCTCGGTATATCTGGATATCCTTCTGAAAACATATATATGCCTAAAATGTTCTTATGTAGGAGTGAGCTTACTAATAGATTCCTGACGCAAGAAATGTCTTAAACCTTCATTGCTACATATATTTTTTCAAGGATATATAAAAACTGAAATTTTGAGCTCCAATTATTCAAATAGACCAAGCCTCAAATAGACGTTAACAATAAATACCAAGGATTATTTCAATATCGAATCTTTAATTATCAAGATGTGGCTAGACCAATTTTATGGTAAGATAATCATAAACATTATAGAAATATGTCTATTACAAACAAAATATGGGAAGAGGTAGGAAATAGTGGTATGTTCATACGCCGCTCAATGTTACCGCCTGAAATGCCGCTTGCTATTCGTCACTTTCTATATAATCACGGTCTTACATAATTCATTTATCTTAAAAGTATTTCGGAAAATGATTTCCATGCACATTGGGAGGCATATACATGTATACATATACATATACATACATACACCAGCACTGCATTCTAAAGTTTCTCTTAAGTAGGTTAACAGAATAACTAATAAATGGCTTCGGCATTATTATTTTACTCGCAATAATAAGGATTCTATAAGCTATATATAAGTTGAATAAAGTAAAGTAATGAATGCAATACTTTTATATATCGTATCCATTTGAATATTTTATGTCTAGAAATTTTTTCAGTGTAAATGTATGCAAAAATATAAAAACGCTATTTTACAAAATTTAGTTTTCGGTTCTTTGATTATTAGTACTCGGCATTCATACGTATATGACCATGGGCCATTTTCGGGTTAGTTCTTTATTTTTTTACATATCTACAGCAAAATATGTACTACTAGCATCAAATTATAAATAATTTATATTCAAAAATATTTAACTTTTGTTCTGCGGTCAAAAGTACATTGTTTATCCAAAGTATAAGGTCAATAAAAAACATATAAAATTACATAGCAAATAACGGTAAAAAATGATAAAAATATACTTATAAGAGTATAATATATAAGAATAAGATTTATATTTATTTTCCGTTCCTTTT